GACAGAGAGAGAGAGAGAGAGAGAGAGAGAGAGAGAGAGAGAGAGAGAGAGAGAGAGAGAGATAGACTAATAAAAAGATAGGCAGATAGATATGTTTAATAACATGTTGTGTATAATTTATACATCATTATCTTCTTGGCGATGTTTCGGGCCTACACCTGTTGGGGCCGCAAACATAGGAGTACATCACGCTTTACTAATAGTATAATAATATATACCAGCTCACTAAACATGGACTCATACATGGACCATACTGTTACTATGAACAGTGACACACCCCCGGGGGCAGTGCCACTGACTGAAGTGTCTTTAGGCCATTCCCAAAGGGGGGACATTTCTCGTTCAAGCATAGGAGAATTGTAAATGGGCTGACTCATGTCACGCTCATAACTATGCCTGATCTACAAAAGGGGAACTGCTGCTTTTTCTTTCCTGATCCTTACTATTGTCATTTTCCTCTACTTCTTTTGTATGTTTGTCACTCCCTTGTGACCTGCTATTTTGTGGTGCCTTGATAGTCGAAGCAGACCTTGTGCTGTTGAAGCTAGAGAGGTGAGCATTCCAAGTTGATCCCCTGTAAAGACTTCTCCGTTGACATCCACCCCTTGGCGCTCATATGACATGACCGTATGCAGTTGCGAGCGCCGTAAAACCCTCTACTACAACAAAAAACCCCCCCAAAAAACAGTGACACAGTATGTAACACAAGGATGATAACCTGATTTCAACAAATTAAAGCAACGATAGAGCTGAGCCATTCTTCATTTTAAAAAATTCTAACAAACAAACAAAAAAAGCACAGATTGATTCTACCATTGATTATAATCATTTTGTTTTTTCAGTAGGTCATCACCTTCGCGTTAAGTGCGTCACTTTTCATGGAATGGCCCATATTAGTACGTGGAACAGCGACACTAAACAAGAGTGTAGGTCGGGTTTGATAACGCAGGGTTTTTAGAGTACTTGCAACAAATCTGGTCATATAAAGTTCCCAATATTATTAGAGTAACAAGAGAGAGTAACAAACATACAAAAGACGTTTGAGTAATGAGAAACGCATCGACACAAGCAGTCTATCACAATCAGAAAGTGCACATATTATACTCGTAAACATGAAAATGAGACCTTCAAACGAAAAAAAAAAGTGAGAAAAAAAACTTTGAACATAATAAATATAATACAATTCGATCATGAGAGTAAAAATTCAAATTTTCAAGAAGAAAATTAAGAAATTTATTAGACACAACATTGTTTCCAGAGACAAAAAATTACTTAATTTATGGACCTATCCTACTCTCTCTCTCTCTCTCTCTCTCCCCTCCCCCCTCTTTCAGGCTAGGCCCTATTGAAGATGGACGTTAAACTAGGAGCCTCCTTTCCCCCCTCTTAAATAATCTAACAGTGTTGAAAGGGGTGCTATACCCATACAGTTTTGACCGTTTATTCCCCACATCACAAACACAGTCTTCCCTTAACGTCAGTGTCGTCTGACACCTGAAAGGTTTAGTTCTAAACTTAGTAAGAGTTTTACACCAATTGTAACACGAATAGCTCATAAAAGTACCGAAGATTAGATATGTATTACTAGAGACGGTGATACGTAACAAAAATAAACAAAAAAAACAAAACAAGAGTTAAAAAGACTATAGATGATAGGGTTTTTTTTCAAAAGAAGAGGTGGGAGTGGAAGAAAGGCAAACAAACCACACCCACCACCGACCACCCACCGTCCCAGGACTCGAACCACGCCACGCACCCACCAACCACCCGGAACTCGCCAAACACTCACAACTCAAACCATGCTATACACCAAACACCCTACCAGCCCAGGACTGGAACCGCGGGACTTGCACCCACCAACTACCCAACCATAAAGGACTGGAACCGCGGGACTTGCACCCACCAACTACCCAACCACAAAGGGCTGGAACCGCGGGACTTGCACCACCAACCACCCAACAAGCCAAGGACTGGAACTGCAAGGCTTGCACCCACTAACTACCCAATTACCCAGCCCCGGACTGAAACTACAGCTTGTACCCACCAACTATTCAACCATCCACCCAACCATCCCAAGACTCGAACCCCGGGGGCTCACACACACCTGGTACTGCAAGCCGTCACACTCCACCTGCACCTTGTCCACACCAGAGCACCCATCCAACTACCCAGGACTCAAACCATGCCACGCACCCACCGCCCACCCCAGGACTCGAACCACGCTTGTACCCACCAACTACCCAACCACCCACTCAACCAAGGACTCGAACTGTGCAGCACACCCACCTGGCACTGCAGCCGTCACACTCCACCTGCACTTTGTCCACACCAGAGCACCCATCCAACCCCCGGGACTCGGAACTATACCACACACCCACCATCAACCACCCAAACACTCAACCGAGGACTCGAACCGCGGGGCTAACACCCACCAACCACCCAACTACCCAACCAGCTCCGGACTGGATCTGTGCTGCCGAATACCCACCAACCACCCAAGGACTCGAACCGTAACTTGCACCCACCAACCATCCAACCACTCAACCGAGGACTCGAACAGCGGAGGCTCACACCCACCTGGTACTGCAGGCCGTCACACTCCACCTGCACCTTGTCCTTCTCAGCCTGTATGAGGTCCAGCTGCCCAACTACCCAACTAACAACCAGCTAAGGACTCGAAAAGTACCGCGCACCCACCGACCACCCAGGACTCGAACCGCAGCGCCCACCCATCAACCACCTAACCACCAAGGACAGGAACTGCAAACACAGGGCTTGCACCCACCAATTACCCAACTACCCAACCGCACCCAGGACTCAAACCAAGCTACGAACCCACCACCCCCAAGACTGGAACTGTACTGCGCACCCACCAACTATCCACCAACCCAACCAGCCCAGGACTCGAACCGCGAGGCTTGCACCCACCAACTATCCAACCATCCAACCACCCAGCGCAAGACCCGAACCGCCAGGTTTGCAGCCACCCACCACCCACCAAAACACTCAACCGACGACTCGAACCGCGGGGGCTCACACCCACCTGGTACTGCAGGCCGTCACACTCCACCTGCACCTTGTCCTTCTCGGCCTGTATAAGGTCCAGCTGCTCCTTCAGGATGTTCTTCTTCTCCTCGCGGATCTTGCGCACCCACAGAAGGCAGTCCTGGCGACGCCGGTCGATGACCGCTACCACGTCCTGGGTGGGGACAACACACGACATACAGCACATGACGCGCAACACAGCACACGACACAGCACATGTGTGTAGTATGCATACAGGGGTGATTGGGGGGGGTGGGGTGGAAGGGTGAAGGGGAAGAAGGGGTGAAGGGGAAGAAGGGGTGGAGCGGGAGGAGGGG